ATGTGAAACCATAGAGGGATTGACAAAGGCAATTTGGTTGTTCTATTCAACTTTACTCCTCCATGGCTGAGTGGATGACATGTGTTTAATCAACTGCTTGATAAAAACAAAACGAAGGGTCAGGAATGGGGCTCAGCAATACAGCGGTTGCTGTGAATGTGTGAGACCTGAGTTAGATTCCTACACAAAACAGTCACACCAAAACACACACAGACCCTGTCTGACCGTCTGATGGGAACACACAGCCACCTGTCTGAAGTGACCACAGGATCTCCACTAGGGGGCACCATTCCCTTGGTAGTCTGCATTTAGCCATCAAAGATTATTGAAGCTACAGTATGTGCCTCATTTTATATCAAAGGATGGAAGATTCCATAAAGTCACTTATTACTTTGGGTTGCAGAATCCTTGTCACCAATGTCTCTCAATTCCCTGTCTCTTACGTGGGCCTTGAATGCAAGGAAATGAAAACGATGACTACTTTGTACAGTCGTGCACGTCTGACACACACTCAGGGCTGATCTACACCGTCTTCAGAGAAGCCAGCTTTCTCAAGAAAGACAGTAGGTAAGGGCTCCTGGCTCCCTGAGGAGAGCACTCCACATCCACTTTCACTCGGCACTGGCTTTCAGGAGGCCCGGTTTTATCTAATGTGTACAAAGAACCACAATAGCTGTTGCTTTCACCAGCAATAGTGGACACTCTCTGGAAGCCGGGAAGTCATAAAGTGTGTGTATTCATGTGCTGCCTGTGTGCACGGGTGCGTGTGGACTACATCATATCTGAACCTTTCACTACTGAGCTGAGAGCTTGTTTGGAGGCTCCAGCAAGGGCGCACAGCCCCTCACATGCCCCCAACTGAAGGCTGTGTCCCTTACTCAGGGAAGCGTTGCTCTTATGGAGAGCACAGCTTCAGGAGTGGTGCACACGCAGTGGTGAGGGGGAAGGGGTCACCACACCAGCCAGCCCAATCGGCCCAATTGACTCTAGTGGTCAGATCACCCTCATATCCCCGATGATCTGAACCTGAAAAGTTCAGAGTTATTCCAAGGAAAGTCGTTGACTCTGGAAAACTGCTTTTCCATCACATACCCATGTGGACAAGTAGTAGACTTGTCTCTGGGGTGGAAAACTGCCGTTCAAGAGAATCACTGGATTTCTTTTGCTTGTTGCAAGCATCTTCTCGTGGAGAGCCAAATTCAGTAGATTATCTTGTTTCTGCCACAGTGGCCACCCACTAGTCCCTAGGAATTCTAGAAGCCTGATACAAGATAAAGAACTGTTTCCATCAAAGACAAGTCTACTTGTATACGTGTGTCTGAGTGGAAGTCTCGGCGCAGGAGCTCTTGTCAGCTGGACTGAACTCAGGCCGTACTGCCCATCTGAGAGCTGACTCGAACGCAGCAAGAATCGGCCCACTCTGTCAGAAGCATGGGCAGTCTCTGGGGGACAGCAGAAAGGAGTAAGAGGACTGCGTTAGGCATCGTTATTGCGTCTATGTCAAGAAAGGGATCTGAATAGAGAATCACAGCTGTTCCTCCTGAGGCATTCAGAGAAAGAGAACTTGCGGAAAGTGTTTAGTGGTTGCTCCAACCAGGGTAACTGTTTTGGGGGGTAGCAAGTAGACAGCAAACAACAGACTAATAGAAACCCTGGGCAAAACAAGGTTTTAGTTGTGTTGAAAATACTGACATTCACAGCACAATGGGGCACAGAGAGCCCAAGGGTTAAAGGATGTCAGATGGTTGTGGATAACAACTGCCTTCATTCCCACGCCTGCATGATTAGACAGTAAGTCCCCTACAAATAGCTGCTCTAGTTCACAGACCACAGACTAAAAAAAGAATTGGCTCAATTCTCATATTGATTCTACAAATACGCCACTCTGATGAGTAAAGAACAATGGTGAGAGGTCCTTAAAATGTAACACAGGGAATCCAAAGAGCTTGATTTCAGAAAACACAAACTTTCTCTTTGAAAATGTTCTGCTTTTTGACTGCATGGCAGGGATTCAGCCTCCCAAACACTCTTACATTTGTGTTTACATGACAATGCCACACAGAGCAGCTCATTAAATCCCCCATAACAAGGCAGTAGGTGATGTGGCACCCAGCCCATCTACTGAGACACTGGAAGGCAAGAGAGAACTCAAGGAGCTGAATGCAGGTCTGTAGGCAGGAGGCCCAGATCTGGTCCCCAGCACTCTGTGGTTCTTTGAGCATCACCAGAAGAGGCCCCCCCAGTGTCACTGGGTCTGGCCCCCAAACCAAAAAAAGGTGTATCATTACTACTGAATCTTATGGGACCACCTAAAATTTCAGAATTATAAAATCCAGAAATATGACGGCATACTATCTTAGATTAGAAAATGAAAGGGATGTACCACTTTCCTGAGCCGACATAATGACTCCAAAAGGAGCTACCAAGAGCCTGAGGGCAAGTATCTCCTCCACCCTGGGCTTATGCACAGTGGTCTCCGGGCCAGCCAGCAACCGGTGTCCACTATCCTCGCTCCTGTCACGGCGCTCACCCAGAGACCACAAACTGCTCCTTCTAAGCAGGGCTCAAGAGAGACAGAAAGAGATGCTCTCTGGCCTGTGCCACGGCCCCTGCTCCTCTGTCTCAATGCAGAATTACTTGGGGGCTTGGGGGTTTATAAGTAGCGGGAGGAGTTTCTTGGTTACCAGAACTTAGAATCTGAGTGACGAGAAAGGCCTAAGGTGCTGCTTTCCAGAGCAGGAAGCAGGCCGAGGAAGTGCTGCGGTTTCCTTTCTGCTAGGGATTCCCCTCAGGATAAGCAAAAGGTCAGGGAAGAGAAAGTCCAAGGGTGATGGGAATTCCAGGAGGCCTGTGGGACTCTACAATTGTACACGTCAATAAAAGTATGTCCACATCATTTTACATACTAATATGCAATAATACTGTCTATAACAGAACTAGTTGTTTCGAATGTCTAATCAGTGCCATATTAAGAAATACCTAATACGACAGCCATCTTGTTAGGGAGAAGACAACAGGTAAAATTTCGTACTCAGAACTGAATGAATGTTTGCCTATGTTATTCTTAAAAGATGAACAGTAGTGGTAATTTAAAAATTGAAAATTAATTTTACTTTCGACCGTTGGAATAAAGATAACGCCTGGAGTTTGACACTTAAAACTTCCCAACAGTTTTTATTATTATTATTTTTTTTGCTTTTTGGGTCACACCCGGCGATGCTCAGGGGTTACTACTCGTGGCTCTGCTCAAGGGACCATATGGGATGCTGGGAATCGAACCAGGGTCAGCCACGTGCAAGGAAAATTCCCTATCCGCTGTGCTATCGCTCCAGCCCCAGAAACTTCCCAACAGTTCTTTGCTATGCATTATGCTATTTAAAGATAACTGTCTTCTGAATTGTAAAACTTTAAAAAGATTTTCTCAATTCATGCTTAAATTCCCTCTCTTCCTGTTATCTCTTTTCATTACACTAGCCTGAAAAGAGACGAGCAATTCCAAGTACTGGAAACTGCCCTCTCCTCATGACTGCACCCTATGCCTGGCTTTGAAGGATCAACTCAGTGTCACCTGGGTCTCCGGAGCACTGACACCAGAAGGAGGGAGGCCCTGGCGCTGCAATGGGGGCCTTCCTGCTCCCAGGATACAGGGGGCAGTCCTGACCACTCTGCTCCTGCCTCAGCCCTAAAACATGACACACTTGCGGTTCCATCATCCCTAGAAACTTCTCTTAGATTTCTAAAACAACTTCCATTGGGGCAGAGAGATAGTAGTCAGGGGGCACTTGCGTTGCATGCATCCTTGACCTGAGTTTGATTCCCAATACCCCAACTGGGTTCCCCAAGAGCCAGGAGTAAGCCCCGAGCATGCCAGGCACAGTCCAAAACACGAAACAAAAAATAAAAAATGAAACAACTTTCCCCATTTAGTGTCTTTACTTCTTTACACTTTCAGGAACGGCTGCACTAGACTCCCAGCTGCATGAAAGCACTTGTACCTTTCTGTAAAGATCAACCTTCTGTTAAATAGCTCGAGTGGTGTTTCAGAGACGCTCTTCAGCATCTTGTTCCATTTTATGTTGCCCCCAGAACCACTCATAACAAAGATGCAAAAGGCTCAACATCCTCCTTTCCCTTCTCCTTTCATCCCACTGATACCCAAATGTTAAAATAAACAAAAAATCAAAACCAAACCCCAAGTATGTTTTTATTCTTTAACGCTCCCTATCAGAGAATATTTCTACTGTCATTATCCTTTGTCTCCTGCAGTCTCCTCTCCATCTTGATCTATTTCTTAAATGTCCGAAACCAGGGCTTGGGGATGCAGTTTGGTGGCAGAACGTGCCAGTAGGTGCACGAACATCAGAACCAGAGGGTGTCCCCTCTGGGCCAGAGCCAGAGCACAGCAGGTAGGGTGTTTGCCCTGCATGCAGCTGACCCAGGTTCAATCCCAGCACCCCCTATGGTCCTCTGAGCATCGAGGATTCATTTCTGAGCGAGAGCCAGGAGTAAGCCCTGAGCATCACTGGGCATAGGCCAAAACCAACCAACCAGAAGTCACCTCTGATGAGCATGTATGTAAGCACAAAGGGCAATTCCCCAAGCATGTGTGCAACCCTCTCCGTTACATCGGCAACAAAGGGAAGGTTCTTCCAAAATTTAAAGGATGGGTCCTGCCCAAAATAAAGATAACTGTAAAAAATATGAACTACATATACATTTTGGGGTTCCTTCCTATATACATATACAGCATCTATAAATACATGCACATACACACACACACACAGAGTTTCTAATGCGCGCCAATGGTGTATTTGTATCATAATACCAACATTTTTCTGGAACAGTTGGTTCAGTCCTTCAGTTGGATTTTCCTGTTCAAGGCTGTTAACACAACTTTCGTCTATCGATAGGATTCTAGCTGGTCGCCACATGACTGCTGAGAAGGGCACAGACACAGCACAGCAGGCCACTGCCTCCTCTGGCTGTTACACAGGACGTACCTCTTCGTAATTTTTTGCCTCCACCCCATGCTTCATGTCGAGGATCACGAGTTGGTCAGGTATCCGCCTTGTTCCTGAGGGGAGGGGGGTGAAAAAAAATCAAAGGAGTCATTGTGTGGAATATTTCAAATTCCGGGAAATCACCCACCCACCCTCCCCCTCCTAACCCCTACCCTCTCAATAGAGGGAAACAGCCACGACTCCTCCCTCTACTCAGCTGCAGAAAATTCCTGGCTCTGGCTAAAATCACAAGTATTCCAGACAAAGGACCTATCTGTGTGGGGTGCCGGAAAGCAACAAGAACTTGCTGCTGGCAAACATCTCGGGACAGGCAGGACACAGGACACTGCAGCTGGCACTACTGAGGAACAGAGGAAGAGCTAACACACAGGCACACTGGACTGAGAAAGAAAAACACCAAGTCAGGCTGGGGCGAGGGTCAGCGAGCCGGAGTCCACGCCCTCATGAGGGAGGCCTGGATGCGGTGCACCAGCACCACTGGGTGCACGCTTTGCCCCCAAAACCAGGAAATTCAGAAGCTGAAGGAATATGTAATTGAGTGGCGAGGGCCCAGAGAAGACAGGAGTAAGTAAGGTGCTTGCCATGCACGCGTCTGACCTGGGTCCCACCCCCGGCACCCCATACTATCCCCTGAATACTGGCTGGAGTGGTTTCTGAGCACAGATCCAGGAGTAATTCCTGAGCTCTGCTGGGTGTGGCCACCCCAACAATTTTAGTTGCCAGGCAGAGAGAGGGAACACAGGGACAAAGGTGTCCACCTGGCACGCAATGATCCTAGTTTAATCCCGAGCTCTGCATATGGTTCCCTGAGGAGCAAAGGATGTGACCTCTGAGCACTGCCAAGTGAGGTCTGACACACTCCCCATTTGGGAGACAATGTTTTCAGCTCACCAAGCTGAGCTGAAAAGGCACATTTAAACACCTGAGAAGGTTGCTCTGCCAAATACTGAGCAAAAGTCATACTCAATTAGGTTACCAGGAACCATGCAAAGCTGGACTTACTGAAATCAAACCTGGGCACTGAGGGCTGGAGAGATGGTACAGAGGTACTGGCGCTTGCCTTGTATACAGCTGACCTTTGTCTGATCCCTACACCGCTAGGAGTCCCTGAGCACAGAGCTGGGAGTAAGCCCATAGACAGGTGTAGCCACCCACAAAATAAATAAAACAAAACAAAACCTCAGGAGAGAACACAGATTGTTTTGTTTTGTTTTTTGGGGGGCCACACCTGGTGATGCTCAGGGATTACTCCTGGCTCTGCACTCAGGAATTACTCCCGGCAGTGCTCAGGACCCAATGTGGTGCCAAGGATCAAACCTCGTCAGTCAGGGCAAGAGAGAGCTTTGCCGTACTTATCTCTCCAGTCCCAGAACATAGGATTTATCTGATATTCCACTTTAATTCAAATATTTATTCAACAGGAGGGCACTCAGGAGATAAATAAAATAAAATGTTATGGACTACTTCCACAGAGCCTTTAAAAAGAACAGCCCAAGGGAAAGGCTGAAAAATGACAGAACAATTCTCATGCACGCTTCTTAGAAAGAGAAATCCAAATTGACATTTGGTATAGTAGGGTCAACAAAGCAATGTTCGTCCTAAGCACACCAAAACAAAACAGTAAAGAGAAGAAAGAGGCAATGTCAGGAGAACGCTCCCACAGAGGGATGGGGCGAGAGGCCACTGTGGGGCAGCCCTTCCTTTCCTTTGCCATCCCCAGTCCCGCCATCTCTGCCTTGATCCGCCCTGGGAAGCAGTGCACTGCCAATCCCGCTGCTCCTGCCTCAGCCCGGGAGCCAAGGACCGCCCGCACTTCACGCTCCAACCAGCAAACCAAGAAGCAAACACCCCAAAGAAGAATACAAGCAAAAACCTCACTGAGAAGGAGTTGGCACCTGTCCCAGGGCCACCATGGAGGGTCTGTATGATCAATGCTGAGGGCAGAAGAGTCTTCCCGGGCCACTGGTTTGGTTTAGTTCGGTCAAGGGGGACGTCCAGGTTCGAACCAAGGAAGGAAGGATGCAGGGCTGTGGTGCCATGGGATGACCTGGCCACACCAGCCATTCGTGGGAGCCTCCCTGGGGACACCCAGTGATGCTCTGGAGACCCTGTGGAGCTGCGAACTGAACAGGGCTGATCTCTCGGGCCCTCGAGACACTCTTCTTCTCAGACTTCAATCCTGCTGACCCCTTGGGGAAGTACTGCCTCCCACCACGACCACCAGAGCAGAACATGACAGGACAGCCAAAGAGTGGATCGTCAGGTAGCATAAATTGGGTTTTCTATTTGTCTCTGTCACAGAAAGAGTTGCTTTAACTTTGAAGGGTGGGACCAGGTGAAGAATAAGGTATTTTTTCTTTTTTTCGCTTTTTGGGTTCACACCCAGCGATGCACAGGGGTTACTCCTGGCTCTGCATTCAGGAATTACTCCTGGCGGTGCTCGGGGGACCATATGGGATGTTGGGAATCAAAACCAGGTCAGCCACATGCAAGGCAAACGCCCTACCCGATGTATTATCGCTCCAGTCCCAAGGTATTTTTTATTTATTTTTTATTTATTTTATAATGTAGGAGTACTGCTATTTATTCAGCCACTGATTAGCTGATTGAATGGGGCATGAACTCCACAAGGTATTTTTTAAAATAATAAATTATTCAATCTAATTTCCTAAGATGTTGTTATTAGGTATTTTGCTATGGCATGCAGAGCTGGAAATAGCAACCCTTAAAGCTTATTAGCTCAGGTCACAGAGATGGCTCAACAGAATCAAACACATGCTATGCACACAGGAAGCCCGGGTTCGATTCTCAGCACCTCATACAGTTCCTCAGGAGCTGTCAGGAATGAACGCTAAGTACAAGTTCATAGGAGCCTGAGTATTACCAGGAGTGGTCCCAAAACAAAACAAGACAAAAAATCCGCCAAAAGCTCAGCATTAGTCCTGCAGACCTAATTAGCTGAAATGGAAAAATGAACAAAAATAAACATTTGGATTCAGCTGTTTGTAGTCTATTTAAAACAGTTTAACTATGCACAGGTTAAAACACTAGAAAAATCTCTTAAATTTTTTGTAAAGGGCTGGAGAGATAGCACAGTGGGTAGGGCGTTTGCCTTGCATGCGGCTGACCCGGGTTCGATTCCCAGCATCCCATATGGTCCCCTGAGCACCGCCAGGGGTAATTCCTGAGCACAGAGCCAGGAGTAACCCCTGTGCATCGCCAGGTGTGACCCAAAAAGAAAAAAAAAATGGCAGCCACATGGGAGCCTTGTGGACAGCAGGTATGAGCCGGGGGTGTGGGGGCGACTAAAACCTCATGGGAAGGGGGGCATTCCGGTCCATCCTTCACGCCCTACCGAGGTCACCAGTTGCCCCCCGCGAGCGGCTCTCCAGCACGGCCACGGCCCCAGAAGCACAAGGACTTAATGCAGAACCCGGCAGCTTGGAGCAGAAAAGTGAACGGACTATGCGTTAATCCAGGCCATCAGGTCTGTCCGGAGGGGAAAGGGTGTTGCCCCATTCGCCTTCTCCTCTCTGGAAAGAAAGATGGCGGCCGCATGGGAGCCTTGTGGACAGCAGGTATGAGCCGGGGGACTGGGGGCGACTAAAACCTCATGGGAAGGGGGGCGTTTCGGTCCGCCCTTCGCGCCCTACTGAGGCCACCAGTTGCCCCCCACGAGCGGCTCTCCAGCATGGCCACGACTCCAGAGCACAGAAACCAATTTCTTAACTATCTGACTTTCAGTAGAAATACTTCCAGGGTCAATAAGTAAAATAGCAGAAATCCAAAACCAACATATAATTCTTGAACCCAGCTGTAGAAAGCAAATCACTTCACAATGCTTTGTCAGCATGTCTGATTTGGGGGGGGGGGGGGGTAAACTCTAAATAATAGTGGTGAATCTTTTATTGAAACAATGAATCTAATCAAAGCAGATAGAGTGTTAACTAGAATTCATCTGCCCCACAGGGACTGGGAGGGGTGGGGGGTGGGGTTTTATTGGGGTTCTTCATGGTAAAAAATAAGTTTTGGTAAAGGGAAATGTGCTTGATATTTGCATGACTGAGACCTAAACCTGAAAGCTTTGTAACCTTTCCCATGGTGATTCAATAAATAAATTAATTAATTAAAAAAAAAAAGTAAAAAAGAAAATTGTAAAAAAAAAAATCTTGAAGGAGGAGGTATGGTGCTGCGAGCAGGTCAACCTGTACCTGCAGGGCGAGTGCATCAGCAGCCTGATGGTGCCTTCAGACTTCCAGATACCCCAGAATTGCTGCTGTGCCTTTGGCCAGACCCCAACAACTTGGGGCCAAGTTTACCAAGAAATTAAACAGCCTAAAGTTAGGTATATGGGAGACACACCCACCAACCACCTCTAGCTCTGCTATATAAGCTCATTTATTGGCCTTATTCCAGAGACCCATAAATCTTGAAAGAGATCAAAAGACGCAATTAGGGCCTGTAGTGTGGAAGCTGACAGGAACCCATCACTGAGAGCTCCAGGCCTGCTTGGGGGGGGGGGGGGGGGTGTCAAGTTTCCTTCCCTGTCCCAAGCAGAAACTCAGCAGCTGAAAACCTCCAGAACCTGACTGCCTCCATACCCAAGGACACTCTCCACATGCTCACTTCAACAAGGCTCACCCAAGAGGGGTCAAGCCTCACCCAGGAATGAAACTCACCAGAGAGCGGACTGGCAGGAAAAGCCAGGTATGCGGGAACCAGTGACTGAGATCTCTAAGCCTGCTCGGATAGGGGCTGGGCCTCCTCCCCCAAGGTCCCCAGTTTTCCAGAAGCTTGGCAGTCACATTCGCAAACTGCCCCTCCATGTAATCTCATCAACGGCCAAGACCCAGAGACTATAAACTAAAACTCCCAGAAGAGAACGACAAAGAATTTCCTTGACATTATATTCTATCCATAACAAGCAAGACAAAACAAGTCATCTAGCATTGCTTTTCGGCAGCATTGAGTAGTGGTGAGACTGGTGTTGAAATATCAAATGTAACCAAAGTAATGAGAGAGTATGGGGGAAATTGTCTGCCACAAAGGCAGGGGAAGGGTGGGGGGGGAACACTGGGGATTTTGGTGGTGATGAAGGGATGGGTGTTTGATGATTGTATGACTGAAGCTCAAACATGAAAACTTTGTAACTGTAACTCACGGTGAATCAAAAAAAAGGGGTGGGGGAAATGATAATAAAATAATAAAATTAACATTCAAAATAAAATAAAAAAAAAAAGTAATGGGGAGTTCATGCCCAATTCAATCAGCTTAATCAACGGTTGAATGAATAGCAGTACTCCTACATTATAAAAAAAAAAAATCTTGAGGGCCTGGAGCAATAGCACAATGAGTAGGACGTTTGTCTTGCACAAGGCCAACCCAGGTTCGATTCCCAGCATCCCACATGGTTCCCCGAGCACCGCCAGGAGTGATTTCTGAGTGCAGAGCCAGGAGTAACCCCTGAGTATCACCGGGTGTGACCCAAAAAGAAAAAAAAGATCTTGAAATTTGTTTTCCACTTCTTAAAAAATATCCCAAAGACCTAGGGTGTATGGCGCTGCAGTGGAGCAAGTGTCTCACCTGTGTGACACACCACCCAGGTACCCCACAAACAGTCAACAAAAGCAAGGGAGAGGATGATGACGCTTAAATGTTTTTAGAGAACGCCATCTCACGTACACAGCATTAAGATGCCACTCAAGGAAATGAGAAGTTGTATGTTTTATTTTAAATGCTGGTGAAAGATAAGATGTTTGAATCAGGGCTGGTGAAAACCTGTGGCAAAATACCAACCTAATAACTAAGGTTCGGAATAGGAGCTATCTGTGGATTAACTGAACGATGTATTGCGCATTACTTAAAACTGCACACTAAGCAACAAAAAAATGTGAAATTCAAGCAACTTACCTGGTCCTGGTACACAAGACAGCCTCCCCCGCTGTCTGTCACCACACAGCATTAGTGCTATGCAAACACAAGTGAAACCACAAAGCCACAGACCTCAGCTTGATCTGAGTCCACACCACACAGGCTCCTGCAAGGAGCAGCCAGCCTACCCTCCTCCCTTTGGCTGACATCATGGTCCTGCAGACCCTGGTAAAAATGACCCTTTAGTAAGTTCTTAGCATCTGCTTGGCAAACAATCTGTTAAAAGGTGCCCCCAGACTTCCAGGTAGCAAGCTTTCTCTAGAGTAAAAGGAACACAAAGAACTAGACAAGGAGTATCAACTGTAACGTGTACACATGTGAATTATTCCTTGCAACCTTAAAGGCATGCATCCATAAGTAAGGAATTCTGGGTCAGATCAAGAGAACAGTGGGCAGGTGCTTGCTATGTCCCTGTCCCCCGCCTGGTCTCCCGAGTCCCACCAGCTGTATATGAGCTGTGATTCCAGGACAGCGCAACCAGAACATGCACAGGCAACACAGCTTTGAGTGTGACCCTTGGCTGGTGACCCAGATGAGTGTGAGCACAACTAAATGTATGAACACCACACTTAGGCATGCATGTGACCCTCCAGTCATCAAAAATGACAGTGCGCGCATGCGCACGTGTGTGTGTGCGTGTGTGCGTGTGTGTGAATTGGGATAGACACAGAAGCTATTTTGAAAGAAGTATCAGCTTAAATTGATGACAGCCCAGAGCAGACTAAGATTTTAAAAATGGGAACGTGAGTAATTATGATGATGGTGATAATACAGAAGGGAGAGGGTAACTAGGTTTGAAAGAGCAGATCACAAACGCGGTCTGGTATCATGCCTTTAAATCCAGAGTGCGACAATCATGTAGAAATGTACGGAATCTCGTTGAAACACCCTGGAGTTGGCAAGGGTGGAGACAGGACATCTCTCTGTCATGAAATCATTTGTCTTACTCTTTATTTTTAAAATCTACTATTCTGTTTACTTTTAGGCGAACTCCTTGGTCATATTAGATCAGAAGTCATTCTTGGCTAACTGTCAAGAACAGCAAATTGATCTGTTGTTCCAGGGGCTCTATTGGCACTGTGGAAAAGGTGCTTGCTCTTCCCATAGGGGTCATATGTTCTGAACATGCTGTAAGTGTACCGCCAAAAGTCTAAAACCAAAGCAATGACAGGAGACACTAAGGAGACAGGGTCCCAACAATACTACTAAAACCTCCAGATCAAGCCAGGAGCAAGGTCAGCACAACACAAACTTCCCAATTAACTGGTAAATTCTCTTTCCCTACTTTCTCTTTTAATCAGTTCAACTTATGTTTTTGTACCATACCCAAAAAAAGTACCAACTAATAGAACAAGAATAAAACCACACAGCTTCTGGAGTCCTGAGTCCTTGAAGCTGAAGAACAGGGAGTGAAAATATTTGCTTTTCACCAACTGAGCAAAAAAGTCATGAGGTAATCAGCCTTAAATGTCTTAGGAAGTCTTGGCCTTAAGATGTACAGAAGATTCCACAGCAAAGTAACTGGAGTTACTTTGAAAACAGCTTGTGTTCCAAAGTCCAAAACTGCTTCTGACGGTCACTTACTGTCAGACAGACGCCACTTCTAATCCCCGAGAAAAGGTATCAGTAGCATGTAAGTGCACTATACTCTAGCTCCTCTGTCAAATTAATAATACCCCCGGTACATTACAGGTTCAAGAAATTCCTGCTTCTGCACAAGAACGCAATCAGTCACCTTCCTTTACTCAGGCATGGACACCAGCAAATGCGGTTCTCATTCCCTTTTCCTGTCAGCGCAAGAGAGAAGATTCATTCTTTATCTCAGTTGTTTTTGATATTTCAATACCTGTGAACTTTCCCTGATCGGAGGTTGAAAACCACTACTCTATCTAACTTGGGAGAAGATGGTTAATTCAGGGAAAACACCCTTGATTACTTACCCTTGCTCTCAAAGCACACTTCGAACATGTCATAATCTTCAGTGGTAAAGGCAAATTTCCCCTTGGTTGCATCCTCCTTAGAGTACAGAATATGGCCAGCAGAATCTGTGATCTATAACAGAAAAGCAAGGAAACTTCTAGAAACTGAAGAAATGGAAACACTATAAGAGAAAGCTGATTATTTCTCATATTGATAACTGCATTTAGTTATCCCAAAGGTAGGAACTGCGTTAGTAGATGAAATACAATACAGTAAATTTCATTTTATCAGCCTTATGCACTGTAAGCTAAAATCTACTGTGACTATAAAAAGGTTAATACAGTTGCTTAAATCAAGTATATCAACAGAAGTTCACTTTAGAGAATAAAGAACAGTATTGTTCTCTAGAAAATGACGACACAAATCTGAATGTTGATAATTATCTAATGAATAGACCACAAAAGAGATATACTAATACTTCTTCTACAAAACAAATCTTGGTAAGTAGACAGAAGGATACAAAATAAGAAACAAAACCAAGAAATCTATTTCTGCAAATTTCATGTTAACGTCAATGCCTAGAGGAGTGGGAGTCTGGGGGCCTCCTTAGAGGAGGATGTGGGGAGCTGGAGCAAGAGCACAGTAGACAGGGGGTTGTCTTGCACACAGCTGACCAGGGTTCAATCCCCAGCACGCCATATGTTCCCTGAGTCCACCAAGAGTGATCACCCGGGTTAGTGCTCTGGGCATGGAGAGGACAAATTTGAGGAATTTTTGTGCGTAGGTCACACCTGTTGGTTCTGGGACAGGGGACAGGGAGACCATGCAGTGGTGGGCTTGAACTGGCAGCTCTTTCACGCAAAGCATGCACTTCAGCCTCTGAGCTATCTCCCTGTGCAAATTTTCCACCCATAGGACAAAACCAAAACCTAAGTGCCTACAAGGATCAATATAACTGAACCAAGTGACCAGAATCTGTCTAGTGGGGGCTGTGGACAATGAGGCACACTGTCTCAGGGAGACACTGACCGCGTAGCTTATCAGGTTTTCGAATCATCCTGTTTTTCAAAAGATACCCAACATTTTCATATTTTCTTGTAGTCTACGAATTTTAAATCCTTCAAACCAACCGCAAGTTTGAAAAGGCATCTTAAGGCCAAATAAAGTAAGTCTACAGAACCAAGTTCTTCTGGGCTACCAATTTTTGGTCTCAGCACGGAAAAAAGCTAATCAAAACTCATAAGAAGTCACCGAGAGCACCGAGGTCCAGGGATTTCTGGAGGCGATGCCTGGCAACCAGGAGTAAGAGCAAAGGAAAGTATTAACTGGTCTAAATTTCTGGTGCTGACACTGAGTGAGTTGAAAGGATAAGAAGGTTAGAAATTAGGGCATCATCTTCATAATAATCCCAGAGACACTAGTCTCATTATCCCTACTTTACGGAGGAGTCAACTTCGTAACTCGTCATTATCGGTGAGTTAATAAGTGAGTTTGTGGATCTGAGAAAGACTAGAATCTATATTCTTTCCACATTTCATAGTACTTCTTCCAAAAAGGAAAATCAGACTCAAGTGGAACTCAAGCCAAGGAAGACGAACAAAATCTTACAGGGTCTTTGAATCAGTGCAAGTAGAAATCCTGTGTGTCCTCTTGCATGAGATATACATAGCACGCCGCATTTTGCATCCTCCCCCTTAGAGGGCTGTGAAGCCAGCAATAAACATATGTACGAAGTCTGAGAGTTCCAAAAGCCTTCTTGTACGTGTGATACTTTTTCTGAATCACTGAAACAAAATACTCAAGAGAGGACATCTTTGAGCCTTGGATACCATACAAAACAGGTCATAAAGATGTGAGAATGAGGCACAGAAATCAGTGTGCTGTCATTCTTTCCCATCAGACACTCACCGTGCCTTATTCCTGAGACCCAATGTGCATATGACTTTTTAAGAGGTGCCACAACGAGCAGTGCTAGGGGTAGGAGCCAACTAGGGGAGACACCAGGCTTTCACCAGTAGTGCTCGGAGTGAGGGGCCCACAAGGAGGGCCTTGTTCTGTCATTTAAGCTAGCATTTCCCAACAAGAGCCCTAAGGTACTGTGCTGTGTCTAAGGAGTCACAGTGGAAAACTGTGAAACTGTGGGAAACAGCACTGAGACTAGGGGGTTAAGACAGTGGTGGGGTGGGGGGTGGTCCTCAAGAAGGAAACATGGTCAGAGGGGACCACAGTTGAAAAAGGGTCGACAAATACTGACTTAAATGTTGGGTCACACCCGGCGATGCACAGGGGTTATTCCTGGCTCTGCACTCAGTAATTACTCCTGGTTAGTGCTCAGGGGCCCATATGGGATGCTGGGAATCCAACCCGGGTTGGCTTCGTGCAAGGCAAATGTCCTACCCACTGCGCTATCTCTCCAACTTAAGACAAATACTGACTTAAGCTATCTCTTGACCTCACAAAGATAACTACAAAGAGGAAGTTCAAGAAGATAACGCAAAAATCTCTAATTTTGATTTGCCTCCTATGAATAAAGTTGCAATGTAGAAATTCTTCCAGGCAAATTCAGGTAAGAATAAGCTTCTAGAACTGGAGAAAAAGTACAGGAGGAAAAGCACTTGCCTTGTATGAGGAAATCACGGTCAATGACCAGTACCACATACTGTTCTCTAACCCCTACTGGGAGTGATCCCAGAGCACAGACCCAGGACTAAGCCCTAAGCACAGCCAGGCATGATCCAAATACACTACACACACACACACACACACACACACATACACCACAGCGTGATAATCTATAGGGCATGGGTCACTCCAGAGGATAACTGAGCCTACATGCTTGCCAGAAAACTTTTATTCAAAAGTACTGGTTTAAAAAAAAGAAAGCCTTCAGCAAGGAAATAGCTCAGTGTACAGGGACTTGAGGTTCAATCTTTGTCTAGCCCTGAGCACTGCTTGGCAGGGACACTTCCCAAGAAAGAAGCCTGCCACGTTTTTAGAAAGATTAATATAACCCATGCCTCTAACTGGTGTTCAGTGGGATCAAAACTGAATTGACCTCCTCCACATTGCACAAAGGAACTACAATTATGAAAGAATCACCTACTTGGTTCTATGACATTTGAGAAATATTACTAAAACTTATTCTAGGGCAAATACTAAAAATACAAGAGGCTGAAGACAAAAGATTCACCAATAATTTGTTACTGCGTAGCAACACCCACAGTTCCACCCCCCCCAACTCTGTACTCTGGGGTATTCTTTATCTTCCGGGTATTTGAAACCCAGTCAAGGAGCTGGACAACTTAACCTTCAAGTTGGGTAAACCTGTATGGAATGTTGGTCATTCTAAAATGCTGAAATGGTTGCGAAAACCAGTGGATTTTTCATCTAGTTCAAAACTTGGCAGTTATTTATAAGCTAAACCTTAAAGTGGAAAATAAATCCCATCTAACCCCACACCAAAATAATTACACAACAGCATGGCTAAAATAATCAGGGAAGAGAAAATTAGGCCAAGTTCAGTTACTAGCCAGAGGTGGCAAAGTTTAATAGACTAAAATGACAGTTTAAATTTCTTTTAATTAAGATGTTCCGGTCACAGATTACCTTGAAGATTCATGTAGTTTCTTAAATGTTGAGGTTTTTAGAAAACCAACTTAGTAATAAGTAACTACCACAATGACCTACTCTAACAGCCAGACCTGAAGGGATCCCTAGCACACTTTGAACAGTGAAGATATGCAGTATTTATTATAGAGTTCCTGAAGGAATATCAAGTCATAAAATTTGCCTTATGACATCAAAGGATGGTAATAAAAACGTTTCTAGATAACACATTCTGAAGAAAAGCAAACGAATGTTCACAACTTACAAAGAGGGAAAGAGCATTAATTATCTACGAAAAGTAGCTGATACCAAGGATATGTGAACACTCACACTGAAACTGTCAAACAAGAGAAAATGTAGGTCACTGGGAAAGTGAATTCACTGAGAAATGGATTTTTATGCAGCATTTGAGGTAGTGGCAAGACACTGGTACTGAAGCAGGTCCTGCTCCTCAAGGTACTATTCTTGACCACAACAGTCCAGATAAGAAATAAGGATCTTTAAGAGGCTTAGGCCCTACCAGGAGGCAAATAAAGCCATCAGGAGTAAAAGTTCACCTGGAAGAGGAAACAGGTGCAACCATCAAGGACCTGCTCTAAGCAAATGACAATCATATATTAAACCCAGCTCTGTTTTCTGAAAGCTAAGACTAAAAGAGAAACAAGCTGGGGCGTACATCATTGGTTTTCCAATGAAAGCTCACGAATTTATCTTATCTTCAGGAATAATTTTCTGTGAACACAAAGGACAATTTATCAGGTAGGGTCTTTCTTAGTGAAAGGACTCATATTGACTTTCCACATTTGGGGCCAGTGTGATATTACAGTGATAGGGCATTTGCCTTGCACACAGCTGACCTGGGTTTGATCCCCAGCATCCCAAATGGTCTCCTGAACACCACCAGAAGTAATTCCTGAGTGCAGAGCAGGGGAAGAGAGGGAGAGAGGGAGAGGGAGGGGGGGGAGAGGGAGGGAGAGAGGGAGGGAGGGAAGGGGGGAGAGAGAGAGAGAGAGAGAGAGAGAGAGAGAGAGAGAGAGAGAGAGCACTCTCCACATTTAAACACAGCCTTGCTGAAGATCTTGAGACAAAAACAGTTCCAATGGGCGCTTTCTGAAACCCTCTGTGAAGGCCCGACTGACCTACTCAAGAGTTGAGGCCTAAGTATTTGGACTCAAGATCCCTGTACCCTGGGGTGTTCCACCCTGCATTTGGCATGATGACTTCTCTCCTTGTTCCAGTGCCCTTCTTACTTGCTCCTAAAATCCTGTCTTTCTGAGATTGCAAGAGGGCTGGTGCTACTCTCGGTCGATTGCTGCTACTACGACAGTGATTTTAAATTCCAGGAAAGATGCTTTTAAAATACTATCCTGGGATGGAGTTGGAGAGATAGATCAGTGGATGAGGCCAGTGGGTAAGGCATTTGCCTAGCACGAAGATGACCCAGGATCAACCCCTGGTACCCCATCTACTTCTCCAAATCTACCAGAGGTCATCCCTGAGCACAGAGTCAGGATTAGGCCCTGAGC